ACTAGCAGAAACAGCAACTTTCCCAAAGAAAATAAATCACATAAAATAATTTACCTATTATACAATGGGCTGGGTGCAGTGGCTCAAGACTATAATCGCAGCACTTTGGGAGGCTAAGGCGGGGGGATCACACGGTCAGGAGATTGAGACCATCCTGGCTAACATGGTGAAACCCCGACTGTACTAAAAATACAAAAAATTAGCCCGGCATGGTGGCGGGCGCCTGTAGTCCCAGCTACTTGGGAGGCTGAGGCAGGAGAATGGCATGAGGCAGAGGCGGAGCTTGCAGTGAGCCAAGATCGCGCCATTGCACTCCAGCCTGGGCAACAGAGGGAGCCTCTGTCCCAAAAAAAAGATAATAATAATTTACCTATTATACAACATATGCAGCCACCTAATAAGTATTACTACTCTTTTACCTAACAAAGAATTCCCTCACCCTTCTCCTATACCCCTCCCCTAAATAGTTAAACACTAGGCAGGTGTGTGATGTTAAGTGCCCTGAAAAGAAAAAAAAGTTTTATTCCAGACTGTAACTCACACTAGCTTAATCTCAGTCTGTTTGCTTAATAAAAATGTCCCCACCTTGAAAAGTTTTGAGAATTAAGAAAAGACTCTAAATAAAGCACGCTGTGTCCAAAATGGTAACCATTCACCACATGTGACTATTTGAATTTAAATCAAGGTTAATTAAAAATTCATTTCCTCAGTTGCACTAGCCATATTTCAAGTGTGCAATAATTACATGTGGCCAGGCCAGGCACGGTAGCTCACACTTGTAATCTCAGCACTTTGGGAGGCCGAGGCAGGAGGACCGCTTGATCCCAGGAGTTCAAGACTAGCCTGGCCAACATGGCGAAACCCCGTCTCTACCAAAAATACGAAAATTAGCCAGGCATGGTGGCACGCCTGTAGTCACAGCTACTTGGGAGACTGAGCTGGGAAGATAGCTTGAACCCAGGAGGTGGAGGCTGCAGTGAGCCATGATCAAACCACTGCACTCCAGCCTGTGTGATAGAGTTAGACCCTGTCTTAACAAGTACAACAAAAAACAAACCTACACATGGCCAATGGCTATCTATTAAAGCAGATAACAAATATTTCCATCATCATAGAAAATTCTACTGTGCAGTGCTATTCTAAAGCACCTAGAGCAGAGCCTGGCAAATGGTAGATTTCTCATTTTACCTGGCAAATAGTGACAAATCACAAACATAATCATAAAGCTATTTTAACTTCTCTCACCACTTTTCTAGGAAAGAAAAATTCTGTCCATTAAAAACCAAACACTGCATGTTCTCACTCATAGGTGGGAACTGAACAATGAGAACACTTGGATACAGGGTGGGAACATCACACACTGGGGCCTGTCCTGGGATGCGGGGAGCAGGGAGGGATAGCATTAGGAGATATACCTAATTTAAATGACGAGTTAATGGGTGCAGAACACCAATATGGCACATGTATACACATATGTAACAAACATGCACGTTGTGCACACATGCCCTAGAACTTAAAGTATAATAAAAAAATTAAAATAAAATTCTATCCTTTAACACTTATAACAATATAAATCATTCAGGCTAAGGTCCAAAACTACATTTATTGATGTACAATATTTTAACTATTCCCAATTTAAATTTTTCTTATAACTGACATTAACATTTGGAGAGCAAAAAAGAGAGAAGGAAGCAGCAGCAACAGCAACCAACCTACTAACACTTGATTGAAAGGCATTAGGGTATGTCCACTTTTTCCAAGTGGGTTAAAATATAAGGTGTGGATTTTGTTCTACCCTGGCAACCTCATTTTTCCTACCCTTAACCTAGATCCTAACAAAGTGGTGTAAAAATCTGGTAACATCCTCAAACTTTTAGATAAACAAATAGCATCAACAGTAGGCAAAGGCCACAATTTTCTAATGACTTAATTTTCCAAATAAGTTAAAACAGTTTGTAAATACAAAAAAAAAAAACAGCTTCTGGCAAACACAAGTCTTCCTTAAACTCTTATATAGGGCCGGGCGCAGTGGCTCATACTTGTAATCCCAGAACTTTGGGAGGCCGAAACGGGCAGAACACTTGAGGTCACTAGCTCAAGACCAGCCTGGCCAACATGGTGAAACCCCATCTCTACTAAAAATACAAAAAAATATTAGCCGAGTGTGGTGACAGACGCCTGTAATCCCAGCTACTTGGGAGGCTGAGGCATGAATCCAGGAGGTAGAGGCTGCAGTGAGCCAAAATCACACTACTGCACTCCAACCTGGGCGACAGAGCAAAACTCTGTCTCAAAAAAACAAACAAATAAAATAAAATAAACTCTTACATAGTATATATCACATTAAATTCACTCTGTCCTTTTTCTAGACAAATTATCAGCAAGAAACACTATGTAAGCATTTTGACTAACTTATGACAATGCTTTAGTCAGAAAACAGTAGAGTAATAGTGGAAAAAAAAAAGAAGGGAAAAATATACAAAAAAACCCTGAATTTTAGAGATCAACTAGACTAGATCAAGCCAGGCAAATCCACTGAAGAAACTCTAAAATTTTTGCAAACTTATGTGTAAACCAGGTTTCCATTAAAAAATTAAGGAAAAAAAAAGTTTATTTTGAAATACGAACTACCTGCATTTCCTACATAAGTTTATCATAACAAGTACAGTACAACTAACAAAGTAGCAGCTCAAAAGTTGAATGCTGCAGGAATGATTTAACAAGTTACCAAGTGGCCAGGAACAGTGGCTCAGGCCTGTAATCCCAGCATTTTGGGAGGCCGAGGCAGGTGGATCACTTGAGTTTGGGAGTTTGAGACGAGCCTGACCAACATGGAGAAACCCCATCTCTACTAAAAATACAAAATTAGCCAGGCGTGGTGGCACATGCCTGCAATCCCAGCTACTCGGGAGGCTGAGGCAGAATTGCTTGAACCCGGGAGGCAGAGGTTTCAGTGAGCTGAGATCATGCCACTGCCCTCCAGCCTGGGCAACAAGAGCGAAACTCCGTCTCAAAAAAAAAAAAAAGAAGTTACCAACCTAGCAACACTTGATTACATACAGCACACACATCACATTAAAAGTCCAACGTTTCCTTTATCAGGACAAAAAAAAAAATCTTAAAATCAAAAGCACTAACTATTGAATCTCAAGAAACTGAAGCAATTTCAAAAAATCAATACTATCCTTTTGGTCAGTAATACTTTCTTCACTCCTAACGTATGAGAACAATAAGGACATTTTAGCTCCTTTACTTTTCTTTCATTTAGTGATTTTCACATTTCTCTCACATGTAACTTATTAACAGATCTACAGCACTGTGATTTTATGAACTTACAGGTTTTTGCCCCACTAACACTACCACAAAAAAATATTTAAGATGTTTAATCAAAAATTGCTATTCTATGGATGGTTAAACACACTGTGGTACATCCATATCATGGAATACTACTCGGCAATAAAAAGGAATAAACTATTAGCTGGATGTGGTAGCCCTGTAGTGATCCCAGCTACTCCAGAGGCTGAAGAGGGAGAAGTGCTTGAGCCCAGTAGTTTGAGGTTACAGTGCCCTACTGATAGAGCCTATAAACAGTCACTACACTCCAGTCTGGGCAACAGAGGAAGATTCTATCTCTAAACCCAAAAAGTTGTATACTGTATGATTATTTTTAGTAAACACACTGGGAATGGCAAAATTATACAAATGCAGGACATGTGCTGATTGCTGGAGCCTGCAGCAAGAGGGGATGGGAGTGGGGTGGGACAGATGTTGGATGTGGTTCTAAAAGGGCAACAGAGGGGTACTTTGGACTGAGGGAACTGTTCTGTAGCCTAATTGTGGTGCAATCTATACATGGGATAACACTGCACAGAAGTAAATACAGTCAGCTCTCATTATCCTTGGTATCTGCATCCATAGGTAAAAACTATTTTAAAAAAGCACAATAAAAAATACAAATTTTTAAAATACAGCATAACTATATAACATTAATATTGCATTAGGTATTATAAGTAATCTAGAGATATTTAAAGTGTACAGGTGATATGCATAGGTTATACGCAAATACTACACCACTTTATATAACGGACTCAAACACCTGCAAATTTTGGAATCTCGCGGGATCCTGAAATCAACCCCCGACAGATACCAAGCGATGACTGCACCCACGTGCGCGAGCACTCACACGCATGTACAAGTAAACTGGGGATATGTGAATAAGATTGGTGGATTGTATCAATGTTTAATAATGAACCATGGTTTTGCAAGGTGTTAGTGTTGGGAAAACTGAGTAAAGTGCACTGTATTATTCCTTAAACTATGTGATTATACAGTCTTCTCAAAATTAAAAGTTTGATTTATTTAAAAAGTGCTAACACTTGAGAAAACCTTAATATGAACCAGATAATAGACAATATTAGAGAATGACTGTTAAAAGTATACAAGACGATGTCCTTATTCTTAGAAGATGCTTGTTGAAGTATTTAGAGATGAAATTTTTTGTTTTTGAGACAGTCTCGCTCTGTTGCCCAGGCTGGAACTGCAACCTCCACCTCCCAGGTTCAAGCGATTCTTGTGCCTCAGCCTCTCTAGTAGCTGGGACTACAGGCGCACACCACCAAGGCTGACTAATTTTCGTATTTTTAGTAGAGACAGGATTTCACTACGTTGGCCAGCCTGGTCTTGAACTCCTGACCTCAAGTGATCCATCCGCCTGAGCCTCCCAAAGTGCTGGTATTACAGGTATGAGCCACTGTGCCCAGCCTAGAGATAAGTTTTATGTCTACAACTTACTTTTATACAAATGTATATAAATATATACATAGTGAGAAAACATATATGGCAAAATATCAAGTGTTAAATTTAAGTAAAGGTTTAGGAGTGTTCCTTGTTCTCTCAACTTTTCTTTTTTTTTTTTTTTTTCAAAATAAAGAATTGTGAAGAAGAGATTAAAGATAAATTGTTATTATAAACTTATGTTATAGTTCTACCTGCACACCAATTAGTATTTTTAACGGTTTAAAAGTAACTTTTTTCCTAAAACTATTTTACAGCTCCACCTACACTCTTAGTCTTAAAAGAAAACAAAACAAAATGCCAATAAGAATTTCAGGGCAACAGTTTTCCGACACTGGATGTGACGTTCTAATATTTTTCAACATGAATTCCCTAAATCTGTAAGGCATATGGACACTTTTGTAAAATCAAAGTTAGTTCAAATGGATGATTATTTATTTCTAGAAAAACTGAATCCCTAGAGTTGTTCTACTTTTCAAACAGGTGAAATAAATTATAACTGCAGGGGAAAAGGTTAACACTTTCACACACACATCCTAAATTTTAAAAGTCTGAAATTTGGCAAACACAGTTAATTCTATCATAAGGAAAAGTTTGCGTGAAAGGGGTAACCCACATACTAAATGCCAAACAAAAAATGTACTACAATGTGTTAATTATAGTTCCCAGGCTACAGGACATATTTTAAAATGTAAACAGTCCCAACAAACTTCAATGCATTTATAGTTTTAAAAAATGCAAACTGCACACATTTGAAATGTAGGGAATAAGTCTGAGTTAGCGTCAACAAAATCCTTCTCAAAAGTTCTTATATTCTCTTTTCTCTGGTGAGTTTTTGCATGTGTTAATACACTTCAGTGTATAAGAAAAGTCTAGGTCTGGAACGTTTCAACTAAAGACTCAATTTTTTACTTCCTACCGAACCGCCCCCTCGCCAATGGGCCCCACCTCCCGAGAAGAGTGACGGGGTGGGGCTGTTTCCCGCTCGGAAACTAACAAATAAATGCCTCATCCCTACTCCAGAAACGAGAGAACAAGGGAGGCAGAGGCACCGAAGACTCCAGTATGCAACTGACTACAAGGAGGTAGTCGTTTGAAAAGCTTTCTTTCCTTCTCTGAACTCTTTCTTTCCCTCCTCTCAGGTCATCTGACCCCGGGCCGGGCGGAGACAGGTGAATCCCAAGAGAGGAGGAAGAGGGAGGGACAGATGATGGAGGGAGAACCGCGTTTAGGCAATGAATGAGCCTGCTGCATCCGCACCACCTGTTCCTTCCAAGGGTGCCACCCCGGCCTGCCGGCAGGGTTCCCACACCAACCGGGCCGCGACTCCTGCCGGTGTTCCCCACTTGCCCGCCAAAGGCCGGGCCTCTCCTTCCCCAGATCGGGGAGAACGAGAACCGGCAGTCTAGAAGCCAGGAGATCGGGGCCTAGTCCGGAACCAGGGCCTCAAGCGTGGGGATGGAAGGAAGAAGGCTGTGGTCCCTGGAGCGCGGGCCATAGTAGGAACCACAGAGAGGGGGCAAAGCAATGCATTCGGCCTGACGAGGAGTATGAAGGCGGGGTCCCGGGCGGGAGTGGCTCAGTGCCCGCCGGGCCGAGGTTAGGGGTGACAGGCCCGGTTACCGGCTAAATCCTCCCCACTGCTTGCCCGGAGCCTCACACTTACCAAGATCCGCTTGAAGAGCGCATTCTCCTTGGGCGGGAGGCTCACGGCCGGCATCGTTCCGGCTGCTCCTGCTGCTCCCGCCACCACCCGGCTCGGTCAGTCAGTTTGTCCGACCGTCGCCGCTGCCGTTCCCTAGCTGCTTCAGCCTTGAATATACCGATCCGCCGCCACCACCCGGCCTCGGGTGTCGCCGCGTTGCCCTACCCGGACACCTCCTTTTTCCTCGTTGTCTTTTTTCCTTTCTCACTTAACGCTGCCGCCGCCTCCCCCACTACGGGTCTCCGTCGGCGGTTCACGTGGTAACTGAACAGACCGACAGAGGCAGCCAAAATGGCGGACGCGGAGGGCTTTCCCACCCGGGTCACACCTCCTAACACGCAGGCGCGGTGACCTCCTTTCCCCACCTCCTCTGGGTTTCGGAGCTTGCCGGGAAACCTGGAGGCTGGCCCGCCTGTGGAGGCCGGGAGGGTCCGGGCAGGCCCCGCCCATCCTTTCAGTTCGTGGTGCCCTCGAAGCGCCCGCTGAGCTACGGGAGGCTAGGCAAATACGATTCAGACCGCCTCCTCATCAAAAATAGCCTCTCTGGCGCCTTCCTGCCAGATTGACCTTTCATTCATTGGAAAGAGTCTCGCACACTGTGTGATAATCGTTTGAGTCCAAAGCGCTAAAATACAGGTGTAGGTGTTTGAGAAGCGCTGTAGTTGATTATGGACGAAATGCCTAATTTAAGGAGCAGAGGCGGAGTGGAAAATGAAAAAAGCTTCCCCGCAGTGGAGACTTATTAACAACCCTGGAGAGGAAGGGGCTTAATAGAGTCTGAAAAGCGTGAAAGAGCTTGACCAATGAAATGGGCCTGGCTGTCGTATCGGTAATTTGGTGAATGTTGCTTAAGATCAGCCTGGAAAGGTAGTTAGCCAGATCCGAAGTGACATATTTGCACTGCCAGAGGAGCCTCTGGAGGTTAAAGTATGTGTTTTAATTTCGTTGTTGAGGCCATATAATGCAGAGTTGACGGACCAACCTTACGAGGCACCTTGCAGTGGAGTGGTGGAGAGTTAAAGACACTGACTTTACCCTGGAGCTGACTTCAAACTAGTGCTTAATATTGTGACTCGAACTCCCCATCCCCAGAAATTCTCAGATCTTAGAAGCCAAAGACTGGCAAGGATACTAGAGAGAACTACTCGAGTAGGCGAGGTCAGACTAGATACTGAATAGGACCCCTTCCAAAAATGTAAGTCATTTCATTAACAGGTGACAATAAAACTTTTTCAAAGTAGCATTCCATTGATCTAAAAATTTTCAAGTTATATGAGCCACTTTTAACCTTTGGTTTTTGATTACCTCTTTCCAAATCCTGATTTCACTCTGTAGCATTCTTTGCATTACGAATTATTAAACAATATGTTATGTGCATGTTTTTTACTCTTTTAAATTTATTTACAAAGACATTTTAATTTTCAAACTTCTCTTAACTGTCCCTGAAAGGTGTGAGTTGAGAAATATGTTTCCCAATATAAACTTGGGTTTTCTAGCTGCTATATTGATTGTCCTCTCCCTTCACCGGGGTCATAAATAAGGTTTTTAACAGTCAAATCCTGGAGTTTCCTTAAATTCTGTGATCTCTCTTCAAAATTTTGAGAAAATCATATGTACAGGAAACTATGTTTCAGTTTGAAATATGGCCAGTCTTTTAACCTTAACTTTATAAAACTAAGGGCAAGCTTATAATTCATTTTTAAGCTGTTATTTAATAATAACCTGCAAAAAGTCACTGCCCCAAGAGGTCTTTCAACTGTCTAAACTATTGAAAGACGAAAAATAGTCTAAATGTAGTTGATAATTTTAGCTTGGATTTCCAAATCTCTGGCTTCATATCAAAAAATCCCCACAGCAATACTATTTGCTATAGTTCTCTAAATTTCTCCTGTAAAGAATATTCTATTTTCCTTCAGAGGAAGAAAATGTCTGGTCTTTGAAACAATCAGTAGTTTCCACCAGAACCTTAGTACCTGATTAGATGAGCCAGAAATAGAGTTTGGCAAATGTTACATTCTTTTTGGGTGATGACAAACAAATGGCAATTTTAAAGGCTCGGCAAATACTAGTCTGATTCAACATTTAACTGATTCATTTCCTAGTTAAAATGCACCTACAGGTAACAGTCTGACCACACAGTAACCTGAACTGAATAAAAAAAATATATTTACTCTGATTACCACAATTTCACAAATAGAGATCCCATTTGAGTTATACTTTGACAGCCATGCTTTCAGAATGTTAACATATCCAAGGCTATATGCTGTGGCTGCTGCTGCTGCTGCTAGTTAATTCATCTTACCCCATGTGCTTGCATGTCACTATGTTCAAAATGCCAACTCTAAAAACTATTAACCAAAAAGAAAGAAAGAAAATCATTTACCTTGCAAACTTTAATTCTACAAAAGGGATATGTAGAGTGAAATTTCTCCATATACGTAAGATGTTCTCTATTGAGACTGTTACATCTTATTAAGTATTTGGGGCCGGGCGCGGTGGCTCAAGCCTGTAATCCCAGCACTTTGGGAGGCCGAGACGGGCGGATCACGAGGTCAGGAGATCGAGACCATCCTGGCTAACCCAGTGAAACCCGTCTCTACTAAAAAAATACAAAAAACTAGCCAGGCGAGATGGCGGGCGCCTGTAGTCCCAGCTACTTGGGAGGCTGAGGCAGGAGAATGGCATAAACCCGGGAGGCGGAGCTTGCAGTGAGCTGAGATCCAGCCACTGCACTCCAGCAAAAAAGGGAAAAAAAAAAAAGTATTTGGGTCTTACTTTAAAAAAAAAAAAAGGCTAGGCGTGGTGGCTCACGCCTGTAATCCCAGCACTTTGGGAGGCTAAGGCGGGCGGATCACAAGGTCAGGAGTTCAAGACCAGCCTGACCACCATGGTGAAACCCCGTCTCTACTAAAAATACAAAAATTAGCCAGGTATGGTGGTGCGCGCCTGTAATCCCAGCTACTCAGGAGGATGAGGCAGGAGAATCGCTTGAACCTGGGAGGCAGAGGTTGCAGTGAGCCAAGATCGTACCACTGCACTCCAGAGCGAGACTCCCTCTCAAAAAAAAAAAAAAAAAAAAATAGGCCAGGCATAGTGCCTCATGCCTATAATCCCAACACTTTGGGAGGCTGAGGCAGGAAGATAGTTTGAGACCAACCTGGGCAACATATTGAGACCCCATCTCTGCAAAACAGTTTTAAAGTTTGCCAGGTGTGGTGCTGTGAGCCTGTAGTCCCAGCTACTTGGTGGGCTTAGGTGGGAAGATTCCTTCGGCCTCAGAGGTCAAGACTGCAGTGAGCTGTGATGACACCTTTGCTCTCCAGCCTGGGCAACAGAGCTGAGACCTTGTTCCAAAAAAAATAAACAACATAAAAGAAATTCATGTATTTGTCACCTAGATTTAACAAATGTTAACAATTTGCCTTTGCTTCTGGGTGTTTTTGTGTGTGTATAGACAGGGTTTCTCAATGTTGCCCAGGCTACTCTTGAACTCCTGGGCTTAGGCAATCAACCCACCTCAGCCTCCCAAAGTGCTGGGATTATAGGTGTGAGCCCCAAAACCTGGCCTGCTGCTGAGTCTTAAAAAATAAAAACTTATAGATACATCTTGGTGTGTGGGGAGGTGGGAGGTTGTTGGTTTTTTTCTTTTCTTTTGTTTTCTTTTGTTTTTATGACAGGGTCTCACCGTGTCACCCAGGCTGGAGTGCAGTGACACAATCTTGGCCTACTGTAGCCTCAACCTCCCAGGTCCAAGCGATCTTCCTCCCTCAGCCTCCCGAGTAGCTGGAACCACAGATGTGCACCATCACACCCAGCTAATTTAAAAAAAAAATATTTTGTAGACATATTTATCTACCTAGGTTGCACAGGCCAGTCTTGACCTCCTGGACTCAAGCAATCCATTTGCCTTGTTCTCACAAAGTGCTACGATTAGAGGCCTGAGCCACTGTGACTGGCTCAAGTCCTAAGTTTGATTCATAGTATTCTCATGCATGCTATATCAATAAACATATGTGGTTTTTTGGGGGGTTTTGTTGTTTTGGTTTGGTTTGGTTTGGTTTTGTTGTTGTTGTTGTTTTGCATTTTATACAGTTTTTCAATTCTTGCTCTTTCTTTACCTTCCTTCGGAGATGTGATTTTTTTTTCCCAGTGGAAAAATCTTGGACTAAAACTTTGCATTTCTGGCTGCTAACTCAAATCCTCTCTCTTTTCACCTGGATCATAAATAAGATTTCAGTGTTCAAATTCTGAAGATGCTTACATGAATGTTATGAAGCAACTTCTAACAAAATATTATAGATATTAGTTCCTAGCTGGAATTACTTAATCAGGATTCTTTTCAAGATGGAGTTTCACATACAGCTGCATACTCCATACTCCAAGTGTACAGTTCCCATAAGCTCTAATATGCTGAGAAAAATGTGCTTATACTTCATCACTTTCCCAAAATACACACTAGTAAAAGGCTACAAGGGCCAAAGCTCTGAAAAAGAACAAAGCAGTCTTTCCCAACAGCAGTACCGAAATTAGTAATTTGCTTACTGGTTCTGTATACTCTGACTAAAGGTAGCATCTGTTTCAACTTGTTGGATACTAGCAAAACCTTTGTCAGGACAAGCTTCCAAAGGATGGTGTAGAAAGGATATACAACTGACAGGCTGCTGAGTGGACAAGAAGCCAATAAGTTGAGAACCAACAACTGGCTCAGCACATTCGTTGGGTAATTTACTTACTTGAGCATGAGTCCAGGAGGCTCAAACTAGATTACAAACTAAAGTGACTCACAATTTAGCCACCATTTGCATGTTAAAATGAGCCAGAAAATATAGTACAATTAATTGACTTTCTGGTCAATAATTTTTGGTTAAAAAAAGATTTTAAAATAACATTGCTAAAGAGAATATAGGAGATTTGCTAACATTTATTTTGGTTTTAAAATTAATGACATAAGGTTTAACGGATTACTTTTAAAGGGTCAAAATGTATTGTCTGTTACCTATAAATATTTTTATTAGTCTTTAGACATCAGATTGAACTGAATTGAATGTACAAAGATCTGGCTCAATTGTGCAAGATAAAACCTATTCCTCAGAACAATGTATTTAATAGGCAAAACCAAATAAATTGTTTACTACCACCAGAGAGTTGTTTAAGCTTCTCAACAACCCTATAGGTTTTATGTTACAGATGTAAAACTTAGGTATAGAGAGGTTAAGTAATTTGCCTCTTACTAGGTTAAGAAATCATAGAGCTAAAAAGTGGTGAGCAGAATGGCTTTGAACGCTGATTCTACAGCTTATGGTCTAGGGTGGTCCAAGTCTGTTAGGTGAGCTAACGAGGATCACTAGATCTGGGGTCAGAAGACCTCAAACTGTATCCCACCTCTGCCATCTATGTGATCTTGAGCCCTTGAGCCTATCCAAGGCACTAATTCTACTTCACAGGTTTGTGAGGCTTCAGTATGATCGTGAGTGTAAATGGTAAGTGTTAAGAAATCTTTTCAACTATAAAATATGTCACCTTGGGTGAGTAGCTGTCTTTAAGCTTCATCTGTAAATTGAAGCTTATAATCACGGCATGATATGTGCTCATTGTGAAGATGAAATAAGGCAGTGAATGTAAACCATATGATACATTAATGCACCGTGCCTGGACCACAGAATTCAATCCAAGCGCTAGTTATTATTGAGCACGACACTTTTCTTTTTTCTGGCTCATGTAGGAAAATTTTAATAAACCTCTTGATGAATAGCCGTAGAGATGGGGTGAAAAACCCCCAGAGGACAGAGAATAGATAAATTCTTTTTTCTTTTAATTACTTTCTTCCTAATTCCACTGTATAGACAGAAGGCTGAGGCCGGGGTGCTAGAGAACCTTGCGGTGCTGGAACTCACGTTGACGCCCCCACGGAGCTCGGCTGCAGAGCCCTGGAGTCCCGCACTTCCGCCCGCCAGGTGGCGCTGGTTCTGTTGCCGACTCGGAGAGACTGAGCCTGGCCACGCAAGATGGCGTCGTCCGCGTTGCTGCGTCCTCTCTCTCGGCTGCTGGCCCCTGCCAGGCTCCCGAGCGGCTGTGAGTGTCCATCCTCGTGCAGGCCGACTCTACCCTCAGATTACCCCTCCTAAGGCGGACCCAGCCCACGGGTGCAGGAGGCGGCAGCGGCCCGGGTTCGTCCTGCAGTGACCTTCGCCGGCCGTCGACCCAAGGCCCAGCCCGCGCCTGTCCCCTACGCAAGACTCTCCGCTCCCCATCACCCGCCTTCAGCACTTATCCAAGTGCAACCTGAGCACTCTTGGCCTTTGTAAATGGGCTTTGGGTCTCTGCCTTCCCCACCTCTGTACGTTCGGTCCCGTAGACTGGGAGAGGAGACACCCTTCCCGGGACGCCTCCTACATGACCACTCCCGAGTCGTCTGAGGGTCCGCACGCCCTTAAATGAGGCCTTGAAGGCCTCGGGCAGGACAGGTGCTACCTATCTAACTCTCCCAGTGGCCCTGGGCGAAGTACTTGACCTCTCTGAACCGCTATTTCCTTCGCTGTTTAAGTGGGAGATGGGGGAGTTAAAGGGAGAATTAAATGCGATAATACGCACGTAAATGTTAGGGTTTTTTCCCTACAAGGCAGTAAGTTACAGATTTACAGACCCTCTGCCCCTTTCAGCTTCAGCGCGGTCAAAGTTCTACGTGCGAGAGCCGCTGAATGCCAAACCTAACTGGCTGAAAGTTGGGTTGACCTTGGGCACCACCGTCGTCTTGTGGGTCTATGTAAGTACTTTACTCCCGGATGTCGTGAGACTACGCCAGCGTGGTAAGGGAATGAGATAACATTGCGAGATTGAATGGTGCTGTTACGTTGTATGGCAGTGAAAGTCTCACAACAGTAGGATATTTATATAATTGCTGATACATATTTCTCCAAAAGGGAAATCTCCAGGTCTAAAAAGAAATTAAGATTTCAGCAACATTGAGAAAGTATGATGGGACTAAAATTTCTGTTATTGTTCCTTAACATGATTTTGTAAGGAATGGCAGTTTTACTAAATAGTAATTATACTTTATTTCTTAATGAGAATTGAGGCTAATTGGAGTTTTATAAAGGTACCTTTTTCAGATGCTGTAGGGTCAAACCAGCAGTGTACAAGTTGTACAAATTGAATACCAGTAGACTTTCAAAACATTAGGTTTTAATCAATGTTTGTATAAATACATTGCTGGAAATTATATATAGTGTGTAGCTACCTTTTTAAAAAAATTTTCAGGCCGGGCGCAGTGGCTCACGCCTGTAATCCCAGCACTTTGGGAGGCCGAGGTGGGCGGATCACGAGGTCAGGAGATCCAGACCACTCTGGCTAACACAGTGAAACCCCGTCTCTACCAAAAATACAAAAAAATTAGGCGGGTGTAGTGGCGAGAGGCCGAGGTGGGCAGATCACGAGATCAGGAGATCGAGACCATCCTGGCTAATACAGTGAAACCCCGTCTCTACCAAAAATACAAAAAAAAATTAGGCTAGTGTAGTGGCGAGCGCCTGTAGTCCCAGCTACTCGGGAGGCGGAGGCGGGAGAATGGCTTGAACCCGGGGGACTGAGCTTGCAGTGAGCGGAGATATCGCCACTGCACTCCAGCCTGGGTGACAGAGCCAGACTGTCTCAAAAAAAAAAAAAAAAAAAAAAAATTAGCCAAGTCCAGGACCAGACAGATTCACAGCAGAATTCTACCAGATATTCAAAGAAGAATTGGTACCAATCCTTTTGACACTATTCCACAAGACAGAGATTGCAGTGAGCCAAGATCGTGCCACTGTACTCCAGCCAAAAAGACAGAGTGAAACTCTGTCTCAAAAAAAAAAAAAAAAAAAAAATTCACGCCGTATGCTTTACACATAAACTTGCGTTTAATCATTTCAGCAACACTGTGTGGTACCTAATACTGTTGACCCGTTACAGATAGGAAACACACTTGGAGAAACTAGTTTGCTGAACCCAGTTCTCCTGACTTCAGAGGCCACACTATCCTATAAACCACTGTGAAACACTGCCTCTGTAGGAATAAAATTTGTTTTTAAAGTTATAGTATCTGCTATATTAATATTTAAAATTTTGTTTTTTATCTGATGGGTTTGGGGCTTCCTCCACTGTCCCCCAGCTCTTAGATATTTTAAATTTTCTTGTTAAAGTGGTTCAGATTGTTGACTTGGAAAGGGGTGAGATATTGAGTCACTCACAACTTAATAGTAACTCATCTTTTTGAATGATGTTGCTTATAATGAATTTAATACATTCTTAATTTAAGGTTTTCTCTAACAAAAAACTTGATTACTGCTGAGAGCACTAGTGATTGAACTTGGATCTTTGATTGCCATGAATGTCATTGTATATAAACCGTTTTTCCAGTTGCATATTCTGTCAGACAGTGGTTCTAAAAATGTGACTGTCCTCCATAACATCTAATTAATACACATACAGTTTTGTGGTGGGGTTGGTCATTCAATCAAGGTATCACACTTCTAAGATTAGAAGCATAACACGCACCCACCAACTAGCCTGGATCCCATTTAATAACCAAGTTCTACTATATCATATTGATTTACCCCTTTGTGATAAGCCATTTCATTACATTTATTATCCACCAAATAAGGTAAAATTTTTTAGCAGTAGTTGAATTCAAATTTTTGGCTGGGCACAGTGGCTCACGCCTGTAATCCCAACACTTTGGTAGGCCAGGGTGGGTGGATCACCTGAGCTCGGGAGTTCGAGACCAGCCTGGCCAACATGGTGAAACCCTATCTCTGCTAAAAATACAAAAATTAGACATGCGTGCTAGCAGGCACCTGTAATCCCAGCTATTCAGGAGATTGAGGCAAGAGAATCACTTGAACCCGGGAGAAGGAGGTTGCAGTGAGCCAAGATCGTGCCATTGCACTCCAGCCTGGGAGACGAGCAAAATTCGGTCTCAAAATAAATAAATAAATATTTAAGGTCTCCCTTCTCAAATTTAGTATGTCAGATTGTGGTGAACAAGTGTATACCTTTCCTGATTTTTGAACTTTTGGATTGCTTAGCCTTTTATTTCTAACTAGAATAGTTGTTTATTTTTTCTATTCTTATTCCTCTTACAAAACATAAGTATCCAGGAAGATTACATTTCTAATTTTAACTGTTTAACTCTTTGTAGCTCATCAAACAACACAATGAAAATATTTTAGAGTACAAAAGAAGAAATGGGCTGGAATAAACTTTTGAAATACTAACACAGTAAGTATACAAGTTTATTGGATGAATGGATTATGCAAATTAACTTGACCTCTTTTTTAAATACTGAAAAACAAGTTGTTGTTTGTTTTGTATTAGGTTTTTACATTTTAGCACCCGCATTTCTGTCTGAGACAAATTTATAAATTTGTAATACCTTACCTCAAGCAGCTGGTTTTGTTTTGGGGGGTGTTGGGTTTTTTGGTCTGTTGTTTGTTTGTAGACCTGTTGGCCAGGCTGGTCTCAAACTTCTAGCCTCAGGTGATACTCTTGCTTCAGCTTCTCAAAGTGTTGGAATTGTAGGGGTGAGCCACTTTGCTAGCCTCAAGAATCTTTTAGCATAATCATTTTTAATCACTACTCTCTGTTTAAAGAAAGGTATGTTTAAGAATGAAACCAAAATCATATTATTTTCTTAAATCTAATAGTGCTTTACACTTTGCTTTCATAGCACTTATGACAAATTATTATTCTTTGTGTGTGTATTTCTTAATATCTGTTCGGTATCTTGTACACTTGAGTGTGAATTCCATGAGAACAGAAACCTATTTTATTGTCATTTATTCAGCAACTTGCTCATCTGGTCCATTTAGGAGTTTAATATTTGTAGAAGTGATGAATGTATAAGGGCAATCGATTCATTTTATTTTTTATTTTTGAGACGGAGTCACCAGGCTGGAGTGCAGTGGCACAATTTTGGCTCACTGCAACCTCCGCCTCCCGGGTTCAAGCGATTCTCCTGCCTCAGCCTCTCGAGTAGCCGGGACTACAGGCACGCGCTACCACGCCCAGCTAATTTTTGTATTTTTAGTAGAGACAGGGTTTTACCATGTTGGCCAGGATGATCTCGATCTCTTGACCTCGTGATCTGCCCGCCTCGGCCTCCCAAACAAAGTGCTGGGATTATAGGCGTAAGCCACTGCACCTGGCCAGGGCAATCAATTTTTACATTTTTGTCTGTATGACTATTTTGTTGTGATTGTCAACTCAACTAATATCCAATTGGACAGTTCGTGGTAAAAACCTAGTTGTGAACATGATACATGCCCAGCTAATTTTTGTATTTTCAGTAGAGACGGGGTTTTGCCATGTTGGCCAGGATGATCTCGATCTCTTGACCTCATGATCTGCCCACCTCGGCCTCCCAAAGTGCTGGGATTACAGGTGTGAGCCACAGCGCCTGGCCAGGGCAGTCAATTTTTAAATTTTTTTCTGCATGACTATTTCATTATGATTGTCAACTCAGCTAATATCGAATTGGACAGTTCCTCATAAAAACCTAGTTGTGAACAAGATAGCGTATTCTGCATGGTCCGTGATTTAAAAGAGAAAGTTTATTTTATATATAAAATATATACACCTGGCTGGGCGCAGTGGCTCACACCTGTAATCCTAACGCTTTGAGAGGCCAAGGGGAGTGGATCACTTGAGGCAAGGAGTTACAGATCAGCCTGGCCAACATGGCGAAATCCCATCAATACTAAAAATACACAAAAAGTAGCTAGGTATGATGGTGCATGCCTGTAGTCCCAGCTACTTGGGAGGCTGAGGCACAAGAATTGCTTTAACCCAGGAGGTAGAGGCTGGGAGGTTGCAGTGAGCTAATATTGGGCTACTGCACTCCAGCCAGCCTGGGCAACAGAACGAGACTCTGTCTCAAAAATAAATGAATGAATAAATAAATAATATATACATCTAATAGATATGTATCAAATATATGTAAGTATACCATATACAGTGTGTGTGTATATATATATGGTGTATTTCTGAAAACCCTTTTTAAAAAATCCTATATTAATCCTTTTGTAAGTGAAAAGTCACTTAAAAATCTCAACTTTCATGATTGGGTTGATTAAAGTAAGTAACTTACATCTGCTGTATAATAAACATAGTGATCACAGACTATCCTTTGTTTTCCATATTTTATAACTCTGAAACTGAGCTCTTTACGGTTGATAATCGAAATATTTTGCCTTTTTTCTATTAGCACCCTGCCCATTTCACTACTCCAATCAGCCAATCAAGAGATAAAAATGAGCTGGGCTTGGTGGCTCATACCTGTAATCTCAGCACTTTGGGAGGTCAAGGCAGTGGGATAGCATATGCCCAGGAGTTTGGGCAACATAGCAACTTCGTCTTTACCACAAAAAAAAAAAAAAAGAGGTAAAAATGAAATAGGCATTTAAATACAAACCAGATGGCTTTTGCTATTCTTTCATAGTTAAGGCAAAATATTTTTCGTTAAAATTAAATAAAATCAGGTATTGGTACTCTTTGTGGGTTTCTTTTCTGATGTTCTAAGGTGAATTATTCAGAGTAGTTTAATTTTAATATTATTTCTGCTGGTTAATGCTACAGTTTTTTTTTTTTTCTTCATTATAGGTATGCTCCGTATAGTGATTTTAGCTGTTCCTCTGGATTCACCATCTGCTGAGTTGTAAATGTGAGAGAAAAAGTTATATGTGAATATATACCAAGTCAGCATTTGTATTTTGCATCATTAAATAAAAAGAAATAAAAATACTTCTGTATTCTTCAGATAAAGCATATTGTGACAACTTGTAGAAAATGTTAATTCTAAGGTATATTAATAGAAGTATTTCAATATGGAAGGTACCACCTGATAAGAAGGTCAGTGGTAATTAAGGACACATTGGTAAGAAAAGTTGTTGTGAACATAGATTCAAAAATCAGGACTAGCTGGGCACAGTGGCTCAACGCCTGTAATTCCAGCACTTTGGGAGGCCGAGGCAGGCGGATCACCTGAGGTTGGGAGTTCGAGATCAGTCTGATCAACATGGAGAAACCCCGTCTCTACTAAAAATAAAAAAATTAGCTGGGCATGGTGGCACATGCCTGTAATCCCAGCTGCTCGGGAGGCTGAGGCAGGAGAATCTCTTGAACCTGGGAGGCAGAGGTTGTGGTGAGCTGAGATCGTGCCATTGCACTCCAGCTTGGACAACAAGAGTGAAATTCCATCTAAAAAAAAAAAAAAAGGGCTGAAGGATTTACTCTTGTTATCACCTTTTAATTTCTGATCAGAACATTTATTTAGTATATCAGGAAAGCAGAACTACCTTGTTACTCAAAAAACGTAGGGTCACAAAGATTGTTTTCTCTAGAGGAGTCATTTTGGTAAGTTAGAAAGGAAGGATGAATCCTGTTACCAGAGTTTTTCTGACTCCTTGAATTTGAATGATTTTTATTTGGGTGACTACTTGTACTCACTGTTATAGCAACACAAAATTTGTTGTCTTAAAGTTGCTAATACAACTTTAAGCCTATGATTTTGCAAACTCTGACTCTTGGTTTTTTGTTTGTTTGTTTGTTTGTTGTGGAGGGTTTTGTTTGGGGATTTTTGAGATGGGCTTACTCCCAGGATCAAGTGATTCTCTCACCTCAGCCTCCTGAGTAACTGGGACTACAGGTGTGTGCCACCATGCCCAGCTAATTTTTTTTAATTTCTAGTAGAGAGGAGGTCTGTCTGTATTGTCCAGACTGGTCTCCAACTCTCAAACTCGAGTGATCTTCCCACCTCAGCCTCCCAAAGTGCTGGGATTACAGGCGTGAGCTGCCGCGCCCAACAACTATTGATTTTTTTAAAAAAGGATGAAGGGTTAATAGACAATTTTAAATATACATTTGACTTCCACAGTAGGAGCACCATAACTTTCAACTCCCCAAAACCTTAACTATTACCAGGTACAGTGGTATGAGCCTATAATCCCAGCTACTCAGGAACCTGAGGAAGGAGGATCTCTTGAGCTCAGGATATACTGCACTATGCTGATAGGATGTCCTCACTAATTTTGACATCCATATGGTAACCTTCCAGGAACGGGGGACCACCAGGTTGCCTAAAGAGGGGTGAACCGGCCCAAGTCAGAAATGGAGCAGGTCAAAACTCCCATGCTAATCAGTAGAGGGATCATGCCTATAAATAGTCACTGCACTCCAGCCTTAGCAACATAGCAAGACCTCATCTCTTTTAAAAAAAAAAAAAAGAAAACTATTAATAGCCTTTTGTCGACTGGAAGCCTTATCAATAACAGTCGATTAACACATTTTGTATGCTATATGTATTATATACTGTTTTGTTTTGTTTTGTTTTTTTGAGACAGAGTCTTGCTCTGTCACCCAGGCTGGAGTACAGTAGCACAATCTCGGCTCACTGCAACCTCCACCTCCTGGGTGAAGCCATTCTCCCGCCTCAGCCTCCCCAGTAGCTGGGATTATAGGCATGCACCACCAGGCCCAGTTAATTTTTGTATTTTCAGTAGAGATGGGGTTTCACCATGTTTGCCAGGCTGGTCTCGAACTCCTGACCTTGTGATCCGCCCACCTTGGCCTCCCAAAGTGCTGGAATTACAGGCGTGAGCCACCACGGCCAGCCTATATGCTGTATTCTTACAATAAAGTGAGTTAGAGGAAACAAAATGTTTTTTAAAACAACCTTAAGGGGCCAGGCATGGTGACTGAATCCTGTAATCACAGCACTTTGGGACACCGAGGCAGGCAGATCACTTGCTCAGTTCGAGACCAGCCTGGGCAACATGGCAAAATCCTGTCTTTACAAAAAAATAAATACAAAAATTAGCCAGGCATGGTGGATGATGCCTGTAGTCCCAGCTACTTGTGGGGCTGAGACAAGAGAATCTCTTAAGCCTGGGAAGCAGAGGTTGCATTGAGCCAGGAAACCACTGCACTCCTTAAGGAAGGGAACATGTAATTTATTAAGTGGAAGTGGATCATCATAAAGGTCTTCATCCTCATTGTCTTCACACTGAGTTGGCTGAGGAGGAAGAGGAAGAGTTGGTCTTTCTGTCTTGGGTGGAAGAGGGAGAAGAAAATTCTGTATAAGTGGATCTATGCATAAGAACCTGTGTAGTTCAAAGTCATGTTGTTCAAGGGTGAACTGTACTTCATTTGACCCTCAGGAAAGCCCTTTTCCTTTTTTTTGAGACTGGATCTCCTCTTGCTCAGGCTGAGTGTGGTAATGCGATCACAGCTTACTGCTGCTTCGATCTCCTGGGCTCAAGTGATCCTCTCATCTCAGCCTCCCAAGTAGCTGGGACTACAAGGCCCATCCAGATCTGGCTAGTTGTTGTTTTTTTGAGACAGAGTCTCGTTCTGTCACCCAGGCTGGAGTGCAGTGGCTCGATCTCGGCTCACTGCAAACTCCGCCTCCTGGGTTCACACCATTCTCCTGCCTCACTCTCCTGAGTAGCTGGGACTACAGGCGCCCGCCATCGTGCCTGGCCAATTTTTTGTATTTTTAGTAGAGATGGGGTTTCACCGTGTTAGCCAGAATGGTCTCGATCTCCTGACCTCGTGATCGGCCCGCATCGGCCTCCCAAAGTGCTGGGATTACAGGCGTGAGCCACCGTGCCCAGCCTTTTTTTTTTCTTAGATGGAGTCTCACCCTGTTGCCCAAGCTGGAGTGCAGTGGTGCAATCTCAGCTCACTACCACCTCCCCCTCCCGGGTTCAAGTGATTCTCCTGCTTTGGCCTCCTGAGTAGCTGGGATTACAGGCGTGTGCCACCACACCCATCTAATTTTTTTATTTTTAGTGGAAACGGGGTTTTACCATGTTGGTCAGGCTGGTTTCAAACTCCTGACCTCTTGATCTGCCCGCCTTGGCCTCCCAAAGTGTGGGGATTACAGGTGTGAGCCACTGTGCCCAGCAATTTGTAAAAGTTTTTGTAGATATGGGGTCTTGCTTTGATGCCCAGGCAGGTCTCAAATGCCCGGGCTCAAGCAATCTGCCTGCCTCTGCCTTCCAAAGTTCTGGGGTTATAGGTGTAAGCCACCAGCAAAACCCTTTATTGTGAATCACTTAAAACTTGTTTCAGTTTTCACTTCGTTAATTTGTAATTTAAACATTTATCTTGAATTATGTAGTTGGGCCCAATGTAATCACAAGATCTCTATAAGTGGGAGAGGGAGGCACAAGAATGTGTCAGAGTGATGTGATGTGAGAAAGAGTCTTCTTTGCCATTGCTGCTTTGAAGATGAAGCTAACAGCCAAGGTATGTCAAGAAAACAAATTCCCCCCTAGAGCCTACAAAAAGGAACACAGCCCTGCTAACACCTTGATTTTAGCCTACCTACGTCAGAATTCTCACCTACAAAACAGTAAGATAATACATTTGTGTTGTTACAATAGTTTTGTTAGAGCAACAATATGAAGCTAATATGATTTGTCACATAGTAACAGAGTAAGAGTTCAAGTATCAACTACCAATTCAGGGCACTTTTCACTAAAACACTTAAAATTTCACATCTCTAAAGGGAATAGAAAACCGAGTTCCTGGCCGGGCGCAGTGGCTCAAGCCTGTAATCCCAGCACTTTGGGAGGCTGAGGTGGGTGGATCACGAGGTCAGGAGATCGAGACCATCCTAGCTAACACGGTGAAACCCCATCTCTACTAAAAATACAAAAAATTAGCCGGGCGTGGTGGCAGGCGCCTATAGTCCCAGCTACTCGGGAGGCTGAGGCAGGAGAATGGCGTGAACCCAGGAGGCGGAGCTTGCAGTGAGCCAAGATCGTGCCACTGCACTCCAACCTGGGTGACAAAGCGAGATTCCGTCTCAAAAAAAAAGAAAACCAAGTTCCTGGCCATCAGGGAATGGGAGATCAGACAACTCTCATTATACCCGCTCCCTTTTGCACTTTAGATACAATAACTGGCCAGCATAAATGTTAAAATTTAAAAACCCTTGAAATTTTGGAAACTTACAGCCTTGGAAATAAAGTACACCTTTAATGAACAGAACTTTGTACATTGGGCTTTGAGAATATAGCTACCTTGTGTTGTGTGGACCTTCCCCCCCTTTTTTTTTTTTTAAATATTCCTTGTCTTCGCACAACTGATGATGGACCTACCTCTTGATTATGCCCCTGTGAGTCCAGGGAGCGATTCATGGAAGACCAGGCTGTCCAAAAGAACTTTCCAATGATGGAATGTTCTGTTTGTGCTGTCCAGTACAATAGCCACTAGCCCCTTGTGGCTGCTAAGCATTTGGAATGTGATTAGTGTACCTGAATGTTTAGTATTATTTAATTTTAACTAATTCTTTTTTTCTTTTTCAGGAGATGGAGTCTCGCTCTATCACCCAGGCTAGAGTGTAGTGGTGTGATCTCAGCCCACTGCAACCTCCGTCTCCTGGGTTCAAGCAATTCTACCTCAGCCTCCGGAGTAGCTAGGATTACAGGCACCCACCACCATGCCCAGCCAATTTTTGCGTTTTTAATAGAGATGGGGTTTCACCACGTTGGCCAGGCTAGTCTCAAACTCCTGACCTCAGGTAATCCACCTGCCTCAGCCTCCGAAAGTGCTGGGATTATAGGCGTGAGCCACTGTGCCTGGCCTTAATTAATTTTCAATATATATTTGTTAATACATCTAAGAAAAAATGTTCTGTAGAGACAAGGTCTCATTGTTTTGCCCAGGCTGGTTCTCTCACTCCTGGGCTCAAGCAGTCCTCCCGCCTCGGCCTCCCAAAGTGCTGGGATGAACAGACCTGAGCCGCCGCTCCAGCC